GGCAAGCCTGAGCCAGCCCTAACTATAAGCTTTATCAAAGAGGAAAGTCTTAAGTCTAGTCTTAAATGTGGAGACGGTGTCTGCCTCCCGGACCGTAACAGGAAGATGATTCCACAGGAGAGGAGCCTGATAGCTGAAGGCTCTGGCTCCTGATCTACTTTTGGAGACTTTAGGGACCACGAGTAACCCTGCGTTCTCAGAGCGCAGTGTTCTGGTGGGATAATATGGCACTATGAGCTCTCTAAGATATGACTGTTTAGATGTGCACAGAGCAGTGCGCTCCTAAATGACACCAAAACGTAGAAGAGACCTTCAGTGTAGTTTTTTTATTACATGGCTATTTTGGTTCAGACATTTACCCGCCGGTGTGGTGAATAGCCTTCTGGGATTTCTCTCCAAATGGAAAATCTACCCACATTTGATGCTTGGCTGGTGTTAATTTGAGACCTTGTCCCTGCTCGTCTCTCAGTCAGTCCATTTCCATGGTAACAGTGAAGTGGAGCTACAGTCCCAGCTGGACGAGGACATCTAACTGGCCTACTGTCCTTGTCCCAGTATACAAGCACGGGAGGGGAATCCATTTATTATAGGTGGAGATATGCCCCCTTTCAGCTTGTTAGTATTGGACCTTTTTCCTGTTGACCTATTACGTCACAGACCAAACAATGGACAAACAAGTTAGCTACGGTTAGCTAGCAGCTAACTGCTACCATGGTGGACAACTTTACAGCTCTGTGCATTTGGTCCGTCCAAAAAGTCACGGCTCTGGATGTAGATTTCTCCATGTTGTTACCGGCTTCTTCTTCTTCTGTTACACAGAGAATGAAGGTGTTTTAGTTTTCCTTGTAACCTGACTTGAATTGTATCTGTCTGTCTGTCTGTCAGCTGATCAGGTGTACGGAGACCAGGACATGCATGAAGTGGTCAGGAAACACTGTATGGACTACCTGGTGAGTGGCTCTGAATTCTGCTGCAGCCTCCTGCATTTAAACATCTCGTCCTTCCGTCAGTGTCTGTAAAGTTTTTTGTTTCCCTCCAGATGAAGAACGCCGACTATTTCTCCAATTACGTGACGGAGGACTTCACCACATACATCAACAGGAAGAGGAAAAACAATTGCCACGGCAACCACATCGAGATGCAGGCGATGGCCGAGATGTACAACAGACCGGTGGAGGTGTACCAGTACAGCACAGGTGAGTCTGTCCGTCCAATAACGAGCCTTACATCTGTCAGCCAATCACATCCCACCAGCCTGAACCCTCCTCCTCCTCCTCTTCCTCCTGCAGAGCCAATCAACACGTTCCACGGCATCCACCAGAACAATGACGAGCCGATCAGAGTGAGCTACCACCGCAACATCCACTACAACTCTGTGGTGAACCCAAACAAGGCCACGATCGGGGTCGGACTGGGACTGCCTGCCTTCAAACCAGGGGTACCTCAACCACACGCTCTATGACCACGGGGGGTATCGAATGCTTTTAGAGGGCGTCCTTGTGTTCGAGTTTCAGCTCTTGGACACATAATGTGACACTGACACTTTTCCCCTCCGGTGGGTGTGGTTTCCAGAGTATGAAAAGTTGCAGTCTGTCTCTGTAGAGCTGCTACGAAGTCCTGTCTTTACACGCCTTTGCATTTTTACACAGAACCAAACGACGGTGGCATCATGCGGCTCCAGTGTGTGATGTCAGACAGCATGATGATATCACAGAATCAAAAGAGGCGTGACATGTAACACAACAGCGTTGGCCTCTAGTGTGACATATAACATACGTGTCAGCAGCTCTTAATAAACAATAACAATGACATCACATGTCAATAACAATCATTTAGCGTCCCTGTTATATGGCGGCTGATCTCGTCCTCTGCTCGGAGGGTAAGGAGCTCCTGGACCTCATTGTTTGAGTTAGCTGCTAACTGCTAACAGCTGCTTTTTAAATCTCCCATCGGTGGGTCACACACACGTTGTCAATAGGCCCGTTTCCACTGCAGGAACTTCGGGGTAATTTTACGGGGCCGGGGCTGTTGGTGCGTGTCTCCACCGCAGGAACCACCCCCTAAGGACAGAGTTCCGGAACTTTTACAGGGGCTAAACAAGTCCCTGCCTCGGGGTAGGTACTCAGAACGGCCCCTAAAAGACTCCCCGGCTGGGGCTTGGGGATTACTTGGTGCTGATTGGATATACTCAAGGAGGGATGTGACGACAACAGAAAGCTACAAAATAGCCGGCATTTTTAAAACTCAGCAGACGAGGGTTAGCTCGTTCATATAGCTTTCGCCGCCATGTAAAAAAAACTCACTAAATGGCCCGTGAAAAAAAT